CTTGTGCATTCGGTGTCCATCCTCGAGTTTAACAACGGAATAAAAAAACACTTTCATTTTGTCGACACTAAGTTTACTAACTGCGGGTCAGGTGCGGACAAGAAAAACATAAAAATGACCCCAATATTTCACTACAGGCCTGGGGAATCTTAAACAAGATAGTTTTCCGCATAATGCATGCGTTGTTTATTGCGAGAACTGTACCGTACACATTATATATTACGTACATAATGTATAGCTGCGCCTCTCCGCATAGGAGGGTAAAGGTCAGTTGAACCCTATTGGTCCTTACATCCGGTTTCTTGAGTGCCTCTCACAAAAGTGAGACAAATAACGTCGTTTCTGTATGATAAAAATTGAATAATAGTTTTCGAACGTTCCCACGTGTTATTATTATTTTTATTATTATTCTGTAATATTATTGTGTTTAACTTCGAAGAAATAGGGTACTTTCATGTCATGATATCAACTACCTTACTCGAAGACGATCTGAAAGTGATCGATGTCTGCTAAAAACGAAGTTGCAACGCAACTGATTTTATTTCTTTAAAGAAAAGACAGATTTTCCGACGGTTTTCGGCTCCAACATTTTAGGGCGTCTGCTGCCTTTAACATTGACTATATAAAATAGTCCCACAACGAGCTATCTGTAAGCCAGACTTGAACACGGCAGTGTCATCACACGAACTTTTTGAGGAATATGTTATGTGCGTGTGACCTATCTTTTGGTCGACGTCCGCACAAACAACGAGTTGTTTAATCGATATTTCGGTGACGGTGATGGTGACTACAGTGGCGGTATACCGTGGAGGTATACATATTTTGATAAATGTGCTCCAGTTTTCGGGGTTAAAGCACTGAAAAAAATAAATATTAACACTTTTTTGGTGTCGGTGGGCTTAAATTGAGGGGAAGTCAGGTGTACTCAGCCTTTGCCACGGACAGCCTTTTTAAAACGTCAACTGTAACTTTTTCAGAAAAGATTAGGTTAAGGTAGTAGGTTCAAGCTGAAACGCTTGAACGTATGGTAAATAGTTTTCTGTATCAAAACCAAACAATAGGTCTTTTTAAAACTTTTTTTTATCAAATTAAATTTTATAGGGTCTGATATAATTATATTTGTAACTTAGTAATATTATCATTGCCTATGGTCATTTTTTCATTTTTTTTTCGATAATCAAGACTTGGAGAAAGTTGATATCCTGTGAAACTATTATTTCATTACCTAATAAAAAAAAACAAAGTTAATCAAATACAATAAAAAATAATTAAAGGTTGTAGAAATCATTATTTCTGATGTATTCAAAACGATATTATAAATAATAATAATCCAATAAAAAAATGAATTAATGATTAAGAATTAATAATTGAGAATGCTTCACCGATAGCGAAGCGTGATACCTCGGTTGAGCATAATATGGTGGCTTATCTATCCTCGGGTTCAAGACGCCGGAAGAGAAATAAATAACGACCTTTTCGTTTTGACAAGTGACGACACTACACTGAATGATGTATATTACTATATTATGTAAAAAAAAAAAACTAATTTCGTTTAGTCATACACGAACTACATGGAACGGATAAAATGAACATTATTTTTATTTTTGAAAAAACGACCCTACGAGTAATGGCGTGGAATCTCGATCAAGAGGATAATATTATAAAATATATATGAGAACGTTATTTATCGCTATTCCTATAACGGCAGCCATTCATGGCGTGACAATTATAATAATTCGCAAAAACAAAAACTATACATTTTTCGTCATGACGCGCGGTCGATAATGATATTATGAATTATGACTTTATTGATCGGCTCTTTACTGTTATTTTATAAATACGACAATATTCGGATAGGGTCGTCGTCGGTGCTAAGCAGCCGGCTTTAAGTCCAGCCATTTTTGTTCATCCTAAACCGTTTTGTCAAACACTCAAACGAGACAGCTGATAATGAGTTAGTGGGTCACTGTTATTCTGCTCATGCAAATAATTGGAGAAGACGCACAAACACCGGTACCAAACTGTGGGTATAACTCTGTATATTAAAAATGATGTTAATATATTATAATAGTAATATATTTACCAAGATAGTTATACATTTGTTTATGTTTAAAAAAAAAAGATTTGATTTTAAATATTTACTTTTTCATTTTTTCTATTATAAATTGTTTAATTAAATACAATTTTTACTGGCCTAAGTGTGTACCCTAATCAGAATAAAAGATTTTATATTTTACCATAAAAATCTATTATGATTGAAGGCTGAGGCGCATAGAACCAAAGCAGCAAAAGTGTTTACAATTTTTATACAGGATAGGTAGGTAATTAAAGTTTTGATTATTTTTCAACATTTATATATAACTAATATTATTATTATTTCTAATAATAAATACAATTAAGTAACCAATACAGTATTTCCAGTAATTAAAAATGTATCAACAATATGTTGACTAAGTTTTTAAATTTAAAGTGTTTTTGGTGTGATAGTTTATTAGTATAAACTTGGTTACACCACAGTCCACAGAATATATTAATTACTATATATTATTATGTGTTTAAAAGTTAATAAGTATGTTTGTAATTTTAGTTCCAGTTATGATAAAACAATTGTAGGGAATGATATTGTATTTTCAATCTTGGTCTATGATTGGGCTTAATTTTAATATTTTCCCCGGGCGTAAAAATTCTTAGTTCCGCCTCTGCATACAACCAGTGGCATCATTTCGGTTTTCAATAGAGGGGGCAAAGGTTTTGATCAGCCCGATGAATGGGTAAAAAAAAACCGCTCACAACTACATGTTATCTGCTTAAATTTGTTTATGGTACCCTTTTTATTAACTAGGTAACATAATTTTTAAATATAAGGTAGCAGATATTTAAAAAAAACAATTGTAGGTATACATATATCAGTTAAAAGTCTGCAAACTATTATACGGCTATATTTATATTGATAAACGAAAATATTAGTAGTTTATTAGGATATCTTCTTTTTTTTGAAAATATATCAACTGCATATTATCTATAAATCAATTTTACCTGATTCATCACTTATAGTCCATACTCTATTACTCTTATATAGGTATACAATATATTTACAAATTAATATTATCTTAAATTAAAATATATTTTTTTTTATTGTTTAGTTATCACCTCAAGTTTTATCTGTTTATTAAACATACCGGAAATTATTTTCGATTCTTGAGCAGTTTGCGGTAATTTAATATTTTTAGCCACACAACCCATTTATTTTTTGTCAACCTACTACCTAGTCATATTTTGACCAAATTAAAAGATTAATGTAAACACGCGTCACGAAAAAAATACATTTTAATTTAGGTGGAATAAGGTACTCAACTTAAATATTAACACAATACCCAGAATAGTTGAATCATACACGACTGTTGTAAGTTAACTGAAGTCCGTGATCAATGATAATTAATAAAAGTTCCAATCGGTTGTTGTTTTTAGAGTTTGTATTAGTTTTAGATTTTAGAAATTAAACTATACTAGATTATAATACCTACTAATTATTATTATTATTTTTACACATTACAACATTTTTATATCCCCCCCTTGAAAAAATCCTAGATACGCTACTGTATCTATTGATATCTAACCTAACAGAGTCCACACGATAACGGTCTACACCCAATACCCACTCGCATTTACCAAAAAAATATTATGTTATATCGGATTGTCGTCCGACTCTACAGCATCGCATGTGTATTATTGCGACCGATCGATATTCCGACGGTGCATATATCGCATATAATACATTATTATTTTATTATGGATGCTGCGGGCATGGATTCAATTGAAAAATATAATATAATGTCTTGTACGGCGTGCGCGTAGAATTTAAACGTTAGGTAAGGTATTCAATTTTCGTATAAAGAATAAATTATTTAAACATCATACTATTGCCTTTTACTTTACGATGTATTATACTGACATTGACATTGCATAATATATTATTAGTATAATAGAGAATAATGTTTATACAGCCGTATGACCTACAGTTGAAAACCTTAAATCATAATATTTACAACCTTTGGTTTTGATTAAGAGGGCTCTGTAAACTATTTTTTTTTATTATTATTCAGTGATTAAGTCGCGTGGTTGTAACGCCAACAAAAGCGAATAGAGAGGTACAGCGATTAACGTTTTAAATAATCTTTTAGTTTTGTTATTATATAATTACTGTTTGTTTTAAAATTTTGCAAGTTGTCTTTTGATATATTATATTTTGTTTAAAACAATATGAATGGTATGGTTTATTGTTTTTTGTTTTCAATTTTAATTTTTTTTTTTTTATATATAGAAAGTCAATAGTTATAAGATTGCATTGCTTGGTAGGAGGGACTTTAGGTTCTTTTTGCCGAGTTTCGGGGCTATGGCCCCTGGCTCGGAGTAGATTGTCGATTTTCATGATGTGTTTTCGGATTTGAGCACTATATCGTGAGTGCTTTTGGCATTTTATGGCAGTTTCTTCAGGTCTGATGGTTTGGCAAATATTGCGAAGGTGATGATGGTTTGACGTTGCCAGTCTTGCGTACATATTCTTGGCGTCTTTGGTGATTGATTGTTGGACTGATGTCATATGCTTTGAAGCCTGGATGGTGGTATTTCGTACGTACCACGGAGAGCCCGTGATCGTACGAAGAGAGATGTTTTTCACTGTTTCAAATTTTTTCTAGCTGGATAGGGAAATTTGAGCTCCCCATGCAGGTCCTTCGTATGTGAGTATTGTCCTCACGTACATTTGAAATATGTTTAGTCTTGCTCGTAGTGGGATGGGACTGTGGTGGCTGATTATTGGGTATAAGGCTGCTCTGGTACGTTTGGCCTTGATTGCGGTTTAAATGGCGTGACGACGGAATGTCAATCTTTTGTCCAGGTGCACTCGAAGGTATTTAACGGTTGTTCTCAACTGAATAGCTGTGTTTTTGATACGCAGTAATGTGGTATTTTTGAGTCCTCTTCTTCCAAGTTTGATGGCTATGGACTTATCGTCTATGACCGTCAGATCGGCTTTTTCAAAACCAAGACAAGTGAACCTGCCGCTAACCCGAGAACACTGGACTGTAGAGACCGTGACCCGACCTCGGCAGACTACGGTTATTCGGCCACTCAACGACGCCGCTACACACAATCGACGAGGAACATCGTCAATCGCTCCGTCAGTACAGACTACCGGGATCGACGACAACTCGAAGCCGATAGCCACCGTTCCTGGCTCAGCTTGAGACAGCTGCCCCGAGGAACCGTGATACAACGACGGCAACCCACCATACCCGGACGGCCCACAACCACATTCGCATCACGAGGATGCGATGACCAGGGGAGAACCGGGCCACGACCAGCAGAGGGACAGACGACCACCTCCCGATAACGGACATCGCCTCGGAGCTCACACCAAGGTGAACTACCCAACACCTATCGTTATACTTTTATATTACCGATTATTTATGACACAATAAAAAAATGTGTTACCGATAAATCATCTGCATTATATTCTTTCACGAGACGGACGGCAGTATTGTCTATTGCCCCGTATCAATATGCATCGGCCATATAGTTTTGAGTAATTTGGACCGTCACAATAATGCTTTGGAGTCCGGGTTGAAAATATGAAACCGTGAAATGAGATACCACTAACAATTTTTATATTTTATTCGAATATAAAAGAAATAAACTAATAAATACTATACGGGTGGATGACAAACATGATACTTAAACAATGAAATAATTGGTTTATACTTTAAAGAATCAACGGTTTATTGGAATCAAAGAATAAAAATCTAAATCAAATCATATGTCCACACCACGTTAAATTGCCCTTTTAACAGTTTAATTGTGTGATGGCTTATTGAGTCGACTGTATGGCTTTAATCCCATTAAATAATAATTAAAACCAGAGCTGATTATGATCACAAAGTCCAACGAAACATTGTTATAATAATATGAAAATAAATTCGTTCAAGATGTATTATATATGTATTTTTTTTTCACTACCAATAATAAAATTATGTACGTACAGTGTGTTTTTTTTAAAACTTGTTTGTATAATAATAAATTATGATGAAAAAAAAATTATATGTTTTCTGAAATCGACCCCGGTTAATAGAATCAAAATGACCTGCATCAATGCTGTCACATCAATTGTAACTCACTGTACCTGATAATAATACAATAAATCAATAATAACCATCATCAAAACCTGCTTAATACGTCGTGCTTTTAACTCGCTCGGAATCTAAAATCTCAAATACAAAATTACTCCGATACTATATTATAATGTATAATGTACCTATACCATTCTATTCCGGCCTACTGTACCAGAATTTTAAACGTTATATAATATAAAGTATAATAATATACACCAGATTATCCATTGAACGTAAGACACTAATTATTTCAGAAATATTAACGTTTTTGAGAATATTTTTCCACATAATTTTAAGTAGTTACTAAAAAATATAAATAAATATACTTCACTATTTTTGTCATCGTTGTTATAAAACTTATAATATAATACATTTTTTTTTTACTTGTTTTAAAAACAACGTGTATTTTAAATACCTTAATCCAAAGCAAAACATTTTTTGGAATACTTCGATGTAGGTACTTACGAAAATCGAATTTCGGACGAGTTATAAGTATTTAAAGTTTAGATTAACGGATTGGAGTTATACAGCGCGTGGTATCCCGCAACATTTCCGTCTACTACTCTGCTCATCAAAACTTTAAATGCATGAATAAGCTACTTGACCTAAATTTGATTTTTATGGAGTATGCTGTCATTCAATAGAGTTAAAAACTTTTTTAACAAATTTAGATAACGACAGAAAAAATAGTGAAAAACATGATTTCCCCCCCAAAAATGCAGCAGTTGATTTGTAATGACTTAAAACCGTGTAAGAGAAGTATTTTCAAAAACGTTTGCCTTCTCTGAAATAATGAGGAGACGTGTCTTTTACCTCAAATGGATCACCCCGTATAATATATCTATACAATATAATATTATTATACACACGGCTATATTATAATATACTCTAGGCACCTATACCACTATACCAGCTTTCCGCATGATGTACGCCGAGTTGTTCCTCATCACGAGCTCCTTGAGTAGGGGATGCCACATACATATATATAATATATTTAGAGGAGTCGCGAGTAACGAGCTTTGAGTAAGTTCATCGGGGTGGTATATATTATAATACACTATTCCCATATATCTGCTTAGCAATCAGTCACACACACTTGCACCGACGAGGCGCATTGATTATACAGGCACCGAGGCACGTATACCTCAATAGGTGTATAATATATTGTATAATACAATAATATATGTACGTATATTATATTATAATGCCTATGCGATTTACCATAATACGGTTAGTAATGTTATGCGTCGTGTCCGCGCCAAACATTATATATTATGGTTGGTATAATAATATAATAGGGGTGGTTCGGGAAAGTTTCGGAAAACGTTTTTCGAAATCCTGTTCCGCAAAACTCCAGCCAAGCGCCGGTTCATTATAATATTTCACTTGAGAAGTAAGCACGGTTTTTAAACCTTATAATTAATACATATATTGTGTATATTGATAAAACTATACGGTCGACTCGTCTTTTGTTGCTGATGATACTTGATCGTATTTGAAATCGCAACTGCAATTCCTTTAAATGCGCTAAGGGTATAATACCAACTCCGTTTTGTCAAAACTTTGTAAAATACTATAAAAAAAAAAATGTGGTCAATTATTATCTATTGCAATATTTTATATAACAATTTTTGAAAAGTTTAGTTAAGTTTTTGTTTAGGATGGCATATGGTATCAACTAATGTTTATATTTCAGTGCGATTGTTTATTAAGTCAAAAATTAATTATATTTCTATATTTTTATTTTGTTTTGTGTAGTTTTACCATCAAAACGTTTAAACCTTCATAAGTTGTCGATTATTATACAACAATATGTTGTGTTAGGTTTTTACTTTTTTATTATAATATTATCATTGTTCGATCTGTTATACCACAGTTTAATAAAATACGAACAGTATTTACTTTTTAAAGATTAAAACATCGTTTTTAGTTGATTTAACCAACGTGGTACATACTATTATTTTAATCAATTTTAATACATAAATAAACTTCAAAATATTATATACCTGTTTATTTACATTTTAATTGTACACACCTATAGTTCTTATTTCTCAAGAGTATTTTTTGAAGTATTTAAACTTAATTTTGAATTGTGTAATTGTAAGTTCAACAAAAGAATATCAAATTGATGTAAATTATTATTACAAGCTTAAACTCCGTGAAATTTGGATAAGGGTAATCCATTGCGAAAGTACAACTACTGTAATAATAATAATAATAATAAATAATCTTTATTGTATGGTAAAATTAATTGTATTCGTTGCTTAATGTTAAGATTAGGATGAAAATATTTTTTCAAGATCTTATTATTCTAAAAGTTTTTTTTTTTTTAAACAAAAATGAACTAACTTGTAATACCTTGTAAATTTAGACATAAATAATAAAGATATTAAGATTTAAAACCCCAGATAAGTAGAAGTTCAGCCCTACACTTAATTATAGTTTAATCATTAGTCATTACCAGATGGAATGAGTGTAATGGGATTTTAAAAGGAATGGATGACCTTAATATTTTATCATAAACTGATAATTAATAATCTAATGTGTATTTTTTTTTTCGTTTAATTTAATTAGCACAAACGTCTTCAAACATTAGTATGAAAGGTAAACTAACTAGGTACGAGGTACCCACCTAATTAGGATAAATACTAATTAATATGAAAAATTACATAAAATAATACATATTATATTTCAATTGACGTGTTAAGCCCACTTATTAAAATATTGTATTTTATTTACATATTATTATCCTCTCGTATAAGCGTAATATAGTAAACAATAATATTTATCACAATAATAGACTTGATATACATGCCTATAGAGTGTATGAACCAACTCTAAATAAAGTTTAAATTCTTCAAAAATTGTGCATGCAATTAAAATATAAAAATAAATATTTTTTTTCAATAGATGATTACTTCGATCTGATTTATCAACTATATATTATTATATTATTATTTTAACGACGAAAAAACGTTTTTCGCCGCTCATCAATGTTATTCATTAAAATGTCAACACTTTTGTTTTTTTCCTCTAAAATACTTCTTCTTATCTGTCTTGTTCTTCTTATTCTCTTGCAAATTCCCGACATTTCTTCGAAGTATTAAACTACCACATTTCTTTTGTGGGTATGTGCTAATATATACATACAAATATTAATGCTGACGGTTGTGCCCCGGGCTTTATTATAAATCGTTCTATAGTGACACTCGGGCGAACAACAAAGGATTCACCCTCCAGGCTCTTCTTTCTTTTACTCCGAGTCGACCACCAGATAAAAACCCGTTTCACGGCTAATTAAACACAACCCCGTCATTTCGGCGTGTCCCGGCAGTAAGTTGTATGTAAAAGCTGTCGTCAACGCATCCTTAAATACTTTTGGGCACGATTTTTTTTTTTTGTCTGAAGATGTGAAATTGATTCACATGAAATAGTGCTTTTCTTATTGTTACACGTATAATACAGGATATGCAGCCTGTATAAGTGAACTCGGAACTAGCGACATCGTTGCATCTTTACTTTTTCACCTCGACCACAAATTTAACAAGTTTATTGTTTCCTACTTTTTCCCTCATTATGCACACATCAAACTAAAGAACTCTATCAACACACTACACTGCTGCAGGTTATCCTTTATATGAACGTACGCGTTTTGTATTAAAATTCATAACGATACGAGTATTATGTTACCATTAAATAGTCATGTTTACTATATAGACTCAAATCTATAATTACCGTTGCATTTCAATGGTGTAATTATACAAGCGTCTCTAAATTAGTGTTTATTAGGAAACTTAAGTTTTTATTTTATTTTTCCTACTAAATAAAAATTATATTTTTAAGAATTTCGAGAATTTTTGAACATCGATTACGATAATTTATTTCAACATTTATAGGTTTTAATTCTTAAGGATCAGAAACATAGATTAGAAAATATAAATATAGTTTAAGTACAAAAAACTATTAATTAAAATAATAAAAGTTGGTTATTGAAGAATATGATAACAAAATTACACGCTGCAATTTTTTTAACTACCTCCTAAATACATATTAAATTTTAATATGAATATAAATTAATA